CTGGACCCCAAGAGTGACCCAACCCACAGGCGAGAGTGAGAGGTCAAGAACTTCAGGGACAGGGAGTCCAGTATGTCATGAGGCTGTCTGCAGTAGTTTATCCCTCTTAGTGGTGTATTCACTAAAATGTCCCTGTTCCTCCACAAAGCCTCAGTCTCTAGCTCTGTGTGCCTCCCTTCCCTCCTTCTTCTTCTCTCTCCTCTCCCTCCCCCTTCCAGCCAACCTTGACTTTCCCTGCACTCCCTGCACCCTGCTTCAGGATGGCTCCCTCATTCTTTGCCCCACCCCCACCAATGCAGACCCCCTGGGTGGGCAAAGGCACAGGGCCCCCATGCCACAGATGAGGCACCTGCTCTGCTTGGTCCTAGTTAGTGCCCAGTTTGCCTGAGGCAACAGCTGCAGGGCCACTGTTGTGTGTGTGTGTGTGCATGTGCACGTGTGTACGCGTGTGTATGTGTGTGTGTGTGTGTGTGTGTGTGGCTGGGGGGGCCTGGGGGGCTGAGGGTCAGGGAAGCCGGGGTGGGGAGGGGAATCATCTCTCCCTCTCTCCCTCCCAGCCAGCTGGAGATGTGCTGTGTGGCCATCCAATCCAATTAGTTGAACCCTCAGTCCTGACAGAGGAAACTTCAAAAAACCTCTCTAGCTTTCTCAGCTCTCAGCCTCTTGAAAGATAACAGAGAGGATCTGATTGTAGGCAAGTGGGGTCCCAGCTCCCGGATTCCCACGCCAGGGGCAACCGACCTCGAGCTGAAATCTCCATTGTGAACACACCAAGTAAAATGAGAACATCTGAGCTCACTTCAAGTCCCAGGGCTCCGACCCTGAAGGAACCTCAGTACAGCTGCCCACGAAGGCCTTGCCCAGTGATCAGGAGACAGGGGGCCAATGAAAGGCCACCTGTGTCACGCTGTCCAGTGGGTGCCTGGCTGCTACCTCAGGCAGGCTCTGCCATGGGGTACCCCCTGCCAACCTCCCTGGGGTCCTGCTGGTGCAGCCCAAGGCCCAGCTCCACCTGGGCCAGCTCCACCTTCCCAGCTCCTTCTAGTGACAGCTCTCACCTCTCAATGACAACATCTTCCCAGACCCTGCTTTCTGGGCCTCCTTCCTCTGTCAGAGTCCATCCTGGCCACCCGGGTCCCCTCATAGGCCACCCAGGCTCGTGACCACCCATGTCTCCTTGCCCTGCCACTGGGCAAGAGGCCAGGTGCCTGGCTGTGCTGAGGGGCATGCCGAAGGGACACCAGTGGCAGGGAGAACAAAGGCAGAGCCACTCGGGATGGCCTCAAGGGATTTTGGGGGTTGCATGAGGACACGGGTTTTCCAAATGAGTGCTGCCACGACAGACTGAACCGCGGGATCTGAGAAGCCTGTGGGGACGTATTCGTGTGAGAGGAAGAAGCAGCACCATTTATGATGCCACTGCTCCCCCTGACCGCTGCCAGCTGAATTCTGTCATATACAAAACATTGAACCAGACAACCCACGAGGAGTGGCAGTAGCCAAGCTCATGTCCTGCGGCCACCTTCCCCTCCTCACTGGCGTGTCCTGCTCTGCGCCGGAGGCAGCCGTCGGGCCTGGATCAGTAATGCAGCTCACCCAGAGCGCCTAGAGGCAGGACAAATGCTGGCCTCACCCACCCACTGCCCACCCAGGGCCACTGGCACCTAAAAGAGGCAGTGGGTGGGTGTGAAGGCAGGTGGGCTGCCCCAGGCGGTCAGCCTGGCCTGGGTGCACTGAGACCACGGATCCCAATTCCTCAAAGAGGTCTGCCTTCTCCCAGGGTGGGAAGGAGAGACAGGCACCCACGGCACCCACCCACAATCACCATCCAAGCCAGAGTCAGAACCTCGTCACCAAATCACCCCCCAGACAATTCAGCGTTCAAACCTCGTACACAAGACCACCCCTCCTGCCCCACCCCACTCACACGCACAGGCTGATGCTCTGGCCTTCACTCCTCTGGAGGTCACTCTCGCTTCCCACATGGATTTGTGAGCCGAGTGGCCAAGGAACATTTTATCCCTCCACTCGCCAGTCACCTGGCCGTCGGTGCATGAGCTCACAGCCCAGCGGTTAAGCCTCCCAACCCCAACATAGTTTTAAACCAAATTGTGCTTTTTCCTATTTGAACATTTTTTCAACATCAATGGAAAAAAAGTGATGACCAGACCACGTGTAAACTCCTGATGAACAGTATATAACCCGAGTTTAACCAAAGACCAAATATTTGCCAGAAGTTGTTTCAGGGGAAAAAAAAATCTTCCCCTTGGCAAAAATCATCTACTGAGAAAAATTACAGAACATAAGGTATTATGGCCGAATTACAAACCAATAACCAATCTAGTATCAAGTGAATTTATTCGAGCCTACTTAGAGTATTAAAGGATTCTTAAACCAAATAAAGAAATCAGAGTCTGATTTTTTTCCATTTCCAGCACTTGATCATAGAAGCTTGTTAATCTTTAATAGTTTCTACTTTATTTCAAAGGGGGCTTATAAGCCTACTTCTCACCTAATGTCATCACTCTCTGACCTCTGAAGATTACAAGGGACACTTCTGTACTTTACCATCAGGCCAGCATTCCCAATGACACTTAGTAGCAACCTCGGCTGTGACAGATGCTCACCTGCCCTCTGGCTAAAAATAGCTGTCACGGATGTCAGAAGTGGCAAATGTTCTCTCTCTCTCTCTGCTTAACAGCCCATTAGGCGACTCTGTGAATGAGGCAGATGAATCCCTCACCAAAGGGTAGCCTCAACTTCACCCGACACCAGGTGCCCAAGGCCTTTTCATATATCAATTGTGGAGATGGCTTTTATCAGTTAAAAATAGATCTAATAGCACCCCAATTCAAGCAGAAGCCGCACACTAGATTCCACAGAACCCAACAGCACTACAGTCAGGGAATAAGGGCCGGGGGACACACAGGGCTCAGAGAAGACCCCCACAAACCTGGGCATTAGCCTGTCCCCTTGTCCTCGCCGATGCCACATGACCTGTTTGCTGTGATCCCTGGATAGTCTCTTGGAATTCCAGACATCTACAGTGTGTATAGCTAACAGGGTTCTGCCAGGTTTCCCTTGAAGTGCATCTGTGCAATTTACACTAAAATGATTCTCCTTCTTGCTGAGAAATTTCCACAAACTATCTTAATTGCTTGAAGCAATTCCACTATATTGTAATTATCACATTGCCTTGTAATTATTTGCTCTGTGAATGTCTCTCCCCACCCTCCACCTCCTCCACTCCCAGATGTGGGCTCCTTAAAACAGCTTCTGTGGCCTCGGTATCCACTGCGTGCCTGGTACATACAGAAACTCAGTAACTTTGGTTACACTGAGTTGACTTGGATTGAAGCTGCTGTGTCAATAACATCTCCCTTCTTGGATTCTGAATCCTATCATGACCCCCATAACTTAAGTTAGATTTAAGTGGTTAATCAACAAGACATTGATCTTGAATATCCCTTTTAGGTTCCTAATAAGTGACTATATTAGACCACTGCATTGTGGGAAATAATAGCTATTGTTGTATATTTCTCTATTTGGGACCTTATATATCTACCTCTGAAAAGAAATTAATAACCTTGATTACTAGTGTCTCTAAGGCAAAAATGTAACATGAAAATTAAATACGTTGTACGCCTTGCTAGATGTCTAGCACATGGGAATGCTCTTTGAACACGAGCTCTCTGTCCCCACGTGCTGGTTAAATATCTCTAAAAATGGATAAGGCTTGTAGGGGCAACAGTCTGGTTCATGCTGTCCCAACTGTTGGCACCTGCTCTGTCATTTCAGGCCAGGAGCATTTAATGACAATCATCTGGACACCCAGCCACAATATCTTTCTTGAAACCAATGAATGACTGTTCTGTTTTCTTTCATTTTACTTGTCTCTCTTACCTCCCCATCCCCTACCCCAAGCTGTGGCTGTTTAATTAAAGCCAACCCAAACAGGGGGACACACTTGGTGGGCCCAATGCAAGCACAAGACAACAGACAACAATAAAGAGAAGAGAAATGTTTTCAGCCTAAAGAGCCGCCTTCTTCAAAGTTGACCAATTAAGGGATCCTTAGTATCAGGAAACAATAAAAGAACACTCCTTCGCATATAAATGTAAACTGAACCTTAACCTTTCAACATTAGATGAGAAAAGATGGGGACAGATGCAACAGAGGCAGCATGGAGCTGAGTGTGTCAGCGTGAGGAGCTGTGCCCACAAGGAAGGAGAGCTCTCCGGCCAGACAGGCAGTGTATCCCCACGAAGCAGAAAAGTAAAAATAGCCACTGAACTCTGTTTGCTCATTAAGTCACCCTCTTGTTGTAATTTAAGTCTCTGAGGATCCCCAGCCAAGAAAGTCCCTCACCGATGGATGCAGACATTCTGATCTTTGCCGAACAACTGCACTCGAATCAGGATCCCACAGACAATCATGCAAAGGTAAATAGAAACTTGCAAGTCAAGGCCAGATTCTACCCCTTAGTGACCCACCCAGCAGCAAATCCCCAATGCGAGGCAGCCTGCAACCAGCAGCTGGTCTCACCCTTTACGGATGACAACCCGAGGGACTAACAGGTTACCACAGTAACATTCCGAGCAACCTGGAGACATGCTCAAGTTAAATCCTTGGATGAGCTCTCTGTCCCCATGTGCTGGTTAATATCTCTAGAAATAGCTATTAGTCAATCAGGTAGGTGAAATGTTAGATGCCTACCAGGGTAGCGAAATAAGATAATTACCTAATTGCTAGTTGTCTTTTGGGTTTTGGTTGTGGTTTTGTTTTGTTTTTTTATTTTGGAAGCAAACTCCCCAAATCTGTAATGCAATCAAAACCAACTGAGGCAATTCTGACCCAGAGAGATTGACATTCCAATGTTAAGGAATCACCACAATGTTCTGAGACTGTCCACAGATCTCAGAAGGAGGCATCCTATTCTCCGAGCCCTCCAAAGGTAACATCACAGCACAGTCATGGCCAAGGGACTTAGGTGTACTTACGTAGGGCATGCCACTCGTCCTGACGGATGGTCTTCGTGATATTGAAAGTGAGGTTTCTGGGGATGGTGGCTGAGGAGTAGTGGTATTTGATGTATGTGCATCGCTCAATTTCTCCTGGAAAAGAGAGACAAGAAACCAATGTTAATGAGGCAGTGACCACATCTGCAGTAGTTCTGGGATCATTTTTGTGTCTTGGAGAAAAGAATGTGTTTCATATTGGGCCTGGTGACAACTGCAGTAACTTTATACGAGGCAGTAACTTCAAGTAAAAAAGAGCAAGAAAATAGAACTACAATCAAATAACATTGATTTAGATAGGAAAATATATCTCTGGGATGATGCAGAGATGAGAAGAGCCAAAGTTTAGGCTCACTTTTTTAGCAGCTTGCTGAGAAAGTAGTACCCATGTTTGTCTAACCTTCTTAAGAAAATCAACTTTCAAGTTAAGAGAGAAAGTTTGGCATCAAAAGACGTTTACGTTTCCACTCAGGGACCAGTAGAGAGCAGGCTTTGGCCTTAATGATGTCATTTGTTCTTTTATCATGCACAATCTCCTGGAATGGTGAGCTGGAGTGGGAGGTCTTCTTGCCTTTTCTCTCCCCATCCCCCCCAGTGTCACCTCTGAACTCAAATCAGTCTGTATCTCTTTGAACCAGTCTCTTTTGAGGTTTCTTGGACAAAACTGTGATCCCTTAGCAGACTCAGCACCTGGTCCAGTAAGACCTTTATGATAAGTTGTTATTAATCAAAGCATGATTTGCTAGTCAAATTATCAAAATGTTCCTAGATGTTAGAGCAGAGATTCTCAAAGTGTGGTCCCAAGACCAAGAACATCAACATCCCCTGGAAACTTGCTAGAAATGCAACTTCTCAGGCCCAACCTCAGATCTGAATCAAACTCAGAGGCAGAACCTGGCAATCAGAATTTGAATAAGCCCTCCAGGTGATTTGTTCATGCTCAAATTTGAGAACCGGTGCCTTAGAGAAGCTAACAGAACTGCCATTGTATTAATTCATAAATCCACCATGTTTGCAAATTCCAAAAGGAAGGCATAATCAGGAACTCTTGCCTTGTTACTCTGGGTCTCCTGCAGGCATTTCTATTGATGCTTGCTTATCTGGGGGATATTAAGACTCAATGTCAGGGCATTGTGAAGAATCAGGAAAGGGGTGATTTTTAAAGGTTAGGGGTTTTGAAATCTGGTTTTGCACCTGAATGGATTTTGATGGTAATCCATTTTGCACCCCACTGATTTTCAATTTATAACTGGTGGCACCTGATTGAATTGTTTGACCCCTGGCCCACTGTCAGCAGGGAACCTGGCAATTGGTGAAGTGCAATAATTTAGACAGCGTCTCATGAAACTGATGCCTCATTGTAAATCATATCTGGACAACTGCCCAGTTGCCAGTTATTGGCAGACGCTCCTCCAACGGGACAGACACTGTCCAAAGAGAGAAAGTTCTGGAAAGCGCTATGCACTCTTTTCCTATATCTTCAGTTTTTCAACTCCTCTGCCTCTTTCCCTGTAGCCCACGAGCATCCAGAAGCCCCTCGCATGTCCCCAGCATCCCCCCAGAACACACCTCCTCCTCACGCCTGCATCCTGTCATCCTCCTTCCTGAACTTGCAAAACCTGTGGAAAAGGTATTCTACCAGACAGTCTCCACTTCCTCAACTTGAATTCACACTGCAAACCCCACACTCTAATTTCCATTAACAATTTCCATTAAGAGCATCACCTCCCATCCAGTCTACAGCATCGTAACTCCTGCAGCCATCCCCAAGCCGCCCCCTCCTGAATGGTGCCCCTCCGTCCTGACATTCAGCTGGTCACCAAACTCCGCCAGTTCTACTTTAGAAATGTCCCTTGAGTCGAGCCGCTCCTCTCTGTTCCCACTCCCTCTGCAGTAGTGGTCCTAACACAATGATCTATCTCAACAAACAGCTGCAATTATAGAGGACTTACTAGGTAGGAAAGACTCATTAAGTGCTTTGCAGGTGAGCGATTTCCAGCTGTACTCACGGCACGGCACACACAGAGAAGATGTTTATAAGGACCCTGTAGGAAATAGCTGAGGCTGCCCCGAGCCCTGTCCAGGTTCCCTGAGGGCTGAAAGAACCAGCATTTGGGTTCTGGAACCTGTTCATGGTTCCTATACTTGTCCTACCAGTAGGAAACTCTGTTACGGATATCGTGTCATTTCATCATTTAATCCACGCCACAGCCCAATTAAGCAAGCATTATTATCCTTGTCATCCCTATGTCACAAATGAGAAAATGGGGGCTTAAGAAGGTTAAATGATTCACCCAAGGAAGTAGCAATGCCAGCATTAGAACCCAGGACTGTATGACCAGAGAGCCCCCTACACCAGGCCATAAAAGGAAATGTGACAGCATCGTACCCTGCACAAAGGCATCTGCTGGCCTCTTTACACACAGGAAAAACCCCATGCTCCTCAGGCATAACATCCCAGCCCCCGCCCCAGCTCCCGTGGGCCCCAACCTTCACACACCCGGGCTGCAGCCAGGCAACCTTCCGGCCTTCCCCTGAGCCACATGCCATATCAGCCCCTGACTTCGCACCTAGTCTCTTCCTGCATCTCTTCCCCTGATAAACACCTGCTCATCCTCAGAGGTGGCTCAAAGAGCAGCTCCTCAGCAAAGCCTCCCCCCACATCTAGAACAGCACCCAGCAGTGGCCGTGCAACCACGCGGCTCCCCGTCTCTCCTCCCGCACCCCGGTGCTTCTGTTCTTCCCGCAGCAAACACCGCTGCGCTGTGATTTATCTGTTTACACGCCTCACTCCCCCACTAGATTATGAGTTTCTCAAGGGCAGGAATGTTGTCTTGTTCATTCGTCTTTATCTCCCCAGCCCCTAGCACAATGTAAGCACCAATAAAATGTGCTTGGAGGAAAGGAACGAATAGTATGTGGTGCCCTTCCCTTCATAAGACCAGAGTGGGCAAAGAATCCCAATGCTTTTATTACACGCAAGGAATTAAAATAATTGGGGCAAATTAAAATGTAATGAATTAAAGGCGGGGATTGCTGCAGAACTCTGAGTCTGCAGCAAACATCTCTTCCCTGTCTGGACAGTGAGGTAGAAGAAAACCACATATATCATGCCAATAGGTACTCTTCTAAAAAAGAAAAAAAGAAAACCACATATAATCACAGAACAGTATCTCACTGCATTTGGTAAATGTAATCCAAGAGACAACTAGGTCAATGGTTCCTGAAGAAAAAAAAGGAAGAAAAGAAAGGAGAAGATATAAAGGGTAGACAGTTCTAACAAGAATATCACCAGCAACTGCCTTGGATGTGTACAGTTGGGCAGGTTGTGCCCTGCACAAAGGCACCTGCCAGCGATACCTGAGTGCTGAAATCAAGCTGCTTGCCAAGCCTTGCACCTTGGTGAGGTGCGGCATCTGCCCCATCAGAGGGGCTACTTTTGTCTGATTTGCACAAAGATGCCATACGAGCTAGCAGAAGCCCTGCATGCAATAATTCCAAGATCAAACAAAACACTCCCAGACCCAGCCTTGGAGCACAAAACCAAATCCCACAGGGGATGGCCAGATCAGTGACTCACTCGTGTCCTAGAAAAGTACCTAATTTCTTAGCTAAGGTCAGATTCTCTCAGCCTCAACACAAACAAACTCAACAAGTTGCAACAGGTTCCAAGCAGGCTGGAGCCAGCTCCCTCAGCTTCCCCCACCTCCAGCCCACCGGCCAGGAAGGGAAGAGACCACATGAAACTTGGCAAGAGCAAGAAGCCAGGACAGGCCCTGCAGGTGGCTTGCCAGGGCGCCTGCCTGGAACAGCCTTGCCGGGGGCCCTCGCTATTTGCTTTGCCTCGGGGATCACAAGCATCCTTCCTTTGACAGCAATTAAATTTGAAAGATTCAAATATTGCCTAAGAAGAAAGGCAAAATATTTACCCATGTGTCTGCAGGTCCTGTCAGCGTGCTGAGCTTTTGTAAATACAGGCACCATCTGGGCACCAACTATGTATGCCCAGAGTGTGGGCTTCCTCACACAAACAGGTTTCCTGCCGCACGTGGTGCAGGGGGCTACCTGGATGGCAATGGAGAAGCCCTGGCCTCAGCTGGAGAGAAGGTCAAACCCATCTTCACCAGACTCCTGTGTTCCAGCCCAGAGTCTCAGCTTTCTCCCAGGAAGCCTCGCTTGGTGGGGCAGCCCAAGGGGAAGCTTCCTCCTGCAGCCCCCACGGGACCTTATAAACCCTCAGTCACGCTCTGCCTTCTGAGCTGGTGCCTCCTGCCTGTCAGGGTCCCAGCAAGCCAGGTGAGACACCCAAACAGGTAACTGAGGAGAGTTTCAAAAAATGACAATTTAATTCAATATCAAAAACCAAATAACCTGACTAAATAAGGGGTAACAGACATTTCTCCAAAGACTACATTCAAATGACCAACAGGTATATGAAAAGATGCTCAACGTCACTAATCATCAGGGAAATGCAAATCAAAACCACAAGAAGGTATCACCTCACACCTGTTAGGATTCCTATTATCAAAAAGAAAAGAAAAGATAGCAAGTATTGGCAAGGAAGTGGAGAAAGTGAAACCTTCACATGCTATTGGTAGGAATGTAAATTAATATAGCCACTAGGGAGCACAGTATGAAGGTTCCCTAAAAAATTAAAAACAGAACGACCATATGATCTAGCAATTCCACTTTTAGACATATATCCAAAGCAACTGAGGTCAGTATCTCTAAGAGATCCACACTCCTGTGTTCACTGCAGCATTATTCACAATAGCCAAGACACAGAAACAACCTAAATTTCCATTGGCAGATGAACGGATAAAGAAAATGTGGTATGTATATACAATAGAATATTATTCAACCTTGAAAAAGAAAGAAATCTTGCCATACTTGACAACCACAGATGAACCTAGAGGACATTATGCTAAGTGAAATAAACTAGTCACTAAAGAACAAATACTGCATGATTCCGCTTGTATGAGCGATCTAAAATAGTCAAACTCATAGAAGCAGAGAGTAGAATGGTAGTTTCCAGAGGCTGGCAGCAGGAGAAATGGGGAGTCATTGTTAAACAGGTATAAAGTTTCAACTGTACA